AAAAACTAAAAACAAATAAAATTATAAATAAATTACTAATCTTAACAATTTGAATGATGATAATAACCTAACCTAGGCATTAAACCTATACTTCCTCCTTTTTTTTACCTTTTTAATAAAAAATTATAAAAGCTCCAAAAATCAAATACTCATCTAAAAAATGAAAGAATATCATAAAGGTAATGGTGATCAAGTCATACTAAGAAATAAGATATATATAATACAATACACCCTATATACGAATGAATCTCAATGAACATGCACCATTGAAATTCAAATTGGAACAGAGACCTCTCCTTTATTTCAAAGAATCCAATGCTGTGCAAGGAATGTGGCACAAAGGTCTAAAAGCACAAATTGTGGCTCTTGAACCCTTTGTAGATCTAGCAGGTACTCCTGTTGAGTTTTATAAAGCCGTTAACAACAATGCAAGCAAAACACATTAGCAATCAATTGGTAATTTCATAAGTTTTGCCATAAATTTATCTACTGGAGGAAAGGTTCTAAAAACAACTACCAAAAAACACTTAGTCATCCATTATTGCCATTTAAATGACATGCAAGACCCATAATTACAAGGAACTTTCCCAAATAGGCATTACCTGCAGCTCAAACTTGATGACATTTGGTGATTGAATAATCCCATCATTCTCAATAATGCTTGATTCATCCCCAAAATAATGATTACTGTGCACCACATTGTTAACCATGCCTTCAAGATGACCAAGTATGCCAGGAATCTGCCTGCACTTCATGTTGTAGTGCCCTATCTTCTTTCAGCACACATTCAATTCTTGTAGAGCTTTGAGAACTTCTATCATAATTTCATGAAGATGTGCTCGAGACTACAGAACAATGGATAAAATAATGATCAGTGATAATTAAAGGATAGACATTGAACATATGCTCCAGACTAAAGGGAGCCAGAAATATCTCATAAACTTCTCTGAACAGTTACAATATCATTAAGATTAACCTACAAGATGAAACTCCTAATCTTTTCCTAGAAATAATTGAGAACAAGTTGATACAGGCACTGACCTCTCATAATTTTCAAACACAATGTTATAATCACCTATTTAACTAAATCACATGTACAGCTAGTTGGCTTTATTGCATGCAAAAAAAGCTCAAACCTGCAATCCAAGAGCCCATTTCCTCTCAACCGGAGACTATCCTCTCAAACTAAGCTGTGTCAATCCTTGATAATCCATATATCCTGTCATACGGTGTCCATCAGCTGGAGACACTGGTTCACTTGGATGCATATGGTTAAAACCACTATCCTAAGAGTAAAAACATGTATTAGGAAAGGAAATCTAAATTAGCACTCCAAATCTCAGTGAAGCATGTAAAGACAAAAAAACAAAGGTATATATCAATTGCTTAAAACACTTCTATTAGGAATCTAAAAAATAATCTCAAGAACATAGAAAGAAAACTCACCACAGTTTCTTGAAACTCAGCTCCAACATAGCCGCTGGAAACCCGAAATTGATTGTCCAATAACAAGTAATATGCAACAGTAGCCTAATAGATATTATCACAATAATAAGAAACTGGAGGGAAACTAAGAGATAGGAAATTGGTTGGAAAGTACAAACCTCATTTTCTATCCTGTTATGAAGTGATTCAATAAGTTGGTTCCTGTCAAACCCCATCTTAACCACTTCTTGAAGTGTTCCTCGTCAATCTGAAATTAAATTGGAGTAGTTAAAACATGACTGGCGACTCAAATAACGTAAGGTGTTTAACTTTATCATCCATGATTGGGGTATCCAAATGCTCTCTTGAATAAGTTTCCATTTTTATATTACCTAATAACATGAGCAACCATGTGTAAGTGACATTTCTAGTAATTAAAAAAGCTAGATTTATACAGTTCACTTGCTTAGAAGGAGACACACCATTGGCAAATTTATAAAGATGGAAAATGGACTTCAACAGCAATCCATCTTTAAGGAAATCAATTAAAATAAAGAATTAAAACGTCATCTGACCTTTTTTGCTTGTTGAATTGTGTCTGGTAGTGGAATAGCTAAATACCATGGAAGATGTGCTGGAAACCATTGATGGACGGATCTCAGGAATGGTGACCCTCTTTAATAGGTCAACAACAAGCATTCCTGGGATCAAATCTCTAGCACTATGGGATAAATGGCTTGGAAGAGTATATATCCCACCCTAGAGGACAAAGAGCATGAATAGAATGAGTTACATTAACTAGAGATGTTAAAATTTACACTAACTAGCCATTTCATATTTCTAGAATCTATACTCTTACTAACATGGGCAAACTAGAAACTGACAGTGAGTGAAGATATAGTTGACTTAAATCATTCTCTAGAATTAATATATTTCTTAGGACTGCCACGGACAAAAGGATAGGTTTCAAACTACCATGGAACTTTTAAGAATCAAGGACAGAAAGTTGTGTTAGCCCCAATTATAGGGTGTTACCAAGACCTCCTCCATTGGGGGTAAAAAAAGGGTGGGGGCGGGTAGCTTTCCTTTACAAATAGGATGAAGGCTAATTGAGACAGCATTAATAAATCAATCGTCAGCTAATGATAATGTATGAAAATCTAGACCATAATCATAAATCAATCCTGGGTTTTGAACAAGCAGCACCATGCACAAAATTTTGCTAAGTAGATATCTTTAGTCTACAATAGTACACAGTATAGATTTATCCTAGTCACCTTAGTTTTCTTGAAAACATTGGGAATGTTTTCATCATCAAAATGTTGGAAATATTATTAGAAATGTGGCATTCAAACATGCAAAATGATGAAATGAAATTGCCATGAAATGGCAACAATGAGATTAAAAATTGACAGCAAATGAAGCTGCAATTTTACAACAAATATGGCAGCAATTTAGCTGCAAATATGATGGAAATGAAGCATTCAAATGATAGCAAAAATGTGTAGCAAGCTAACCTGCAAATGTTGATGAAATGAAGCTGCAATGAATAGTAAATGAAATGCAAATGCAAAAGGAATGCAAATGCAAATGAATCGAAAGGCTGTAAAGTGGCTATAGAGCCACAGCAACATGGACACAAAATGGCAACAAATCTTTTGAATTTAAGCTTGCTTCAAATGTTTGATAGATTTTCTTGTATTAGGTAAAATATTAGGAGAGAAAAACCATTTTATGTTGTGTTGTTTCTACTATAAATAGCAGAATATCAATGAAATTTCTGAGTTGGAATGTTACACTCCTCTCCATTGTAGTTTATGTTATGCTCTTCATCTTCATCCTGATTTTCTCTCCATTTCTTTGTTTGAAAAAAATCAGCAAAAAGGAAGGATACCACAAAGAAGGGCATACAATGTAATACCACAGCTCCAGACATCAACTTCAGGCCCAACATACAATTTCCCAAAAATAACCTACAAATTGACACAACAAACTAGTACATTAAAAACTGAATTCACAATAAGTAAATCAATTTTTAATATAAAAGAAAGACAAATGAAATACCTTCCCTACTTATAAATGTTGGCTGACCATCTTAATTTATTCCTATCATTTCATATTTGAGTATATATACCAAATGACTAAAATTTTAACTGTTTAATATAATTAAAAAGATAAGACTTTACATTTCAAGTTTAACTTTTACACACAGTGATTTTTAATTTTTCTCATTATTCAAATTTTCAATAATTTTTGGTCAATACCTCTGGGCAGCATAATTTGGGCTTCCACAACTTGTTTTTAGAAAATGACCATCTCGCATTTGATTGCTTAAGCCAAAATCAGCAACTTTACATTACATTTAGAATCTAGAAGCAAGTTCTCAAGCTTAAGGTCTCGATGAAGCACCATATTTCTTTGGCGGTACTCGACTCCAGAAATAATCTGCTTCAAACAAAGGTCATTCAACTGTAATGTATTTTTTCGAAGGATATAAATAGCACAAGAAAGTGAGCTGGAGATTGGGTTTCAAATGGGAGTGAAGGACATTGGGAATTAGTTTGGGCCTTTTTTGGGCATTTTGATCTTTCATTTCAAGGATTCTGTGAAATGAATTTGTTCGCGGTTACTAGAAACGTTTTGAACAATTCAACCAAATAGCATTTCACTACAAATGGAAAAAATGAAACAAGTTTTCTTTTTTTTTTTTTTTTTTATTACAAGATGAAATGCAACCCTCTCCTCTCCTTTAATCTACACCCACCCACATATCACTTGAACTTAATTCCCCTTAAAAAGAAAATTATTATTGAGTTATTTAGGTTGTTGGTGAGTTTTTTTATTTTTGACAAAAATCAAATGATTCGATGGATATAAAATATTGAAATACTACTCTTATAATAACATGTATAATTGTAAGTTTGCAATTATAAGTTTACAATTATAGCATGATGTTAAATGAGTATAACATGATATTGATGAGTGGATATATATAATATTATGAATAGACTCTTAATGAAAAAAACTAACAATATGTAATAATAATATATCATATTATAAGTTTATAATGCTATGTAACATTGTAAATAATGTAACATTTTTTGATAAAATATGAAGGACTTAATTAGATTGATTAGAAGTAGAGGGGCTTAATTGTATCTTAAAAGAGTAGAAGAGCTCATTTAGGTATTCTAGATTTCTAAATTCGGGTCGGGTGCTGTGATTTGCTACTCAGATCTTGCAAACTTCTGGCGCTCGTCATCACGCCACTTCTTTTGAAATCTAGAATTATATGCTCCATTAAAAAAAAAAAAATTTGCAACATGTTAAGATCATAAACCTAAATTTTGAGTTAGCTTATGTTAAACTTAAAACCCCTATAATAATGAAACTCTTGAAGCATTACGTTGGCTTAGAGAGACTTCCTGTATGTTACTTAGATGAATGGGTTTTATTATGACAACGATATTGAATGGGAATCTTCCACTCCTCCCATCATACTTAAACCCAGGAAATGTTAGTTTGGTAGCAAATAATGACTGTTTCCAAGAAAAAACATTAGACAGAAAAAAAATACAATGGAATCCACTCGGTCTTGAAATTCTTAGTATTATAGTTTTTTTGAATCCGAATCTACAGAAGTGATGATGGCAAAGGGAAAGGAATAAAAGGGGTTGATACTGGTGCAGTTTCTGTACAACTAGTGGAGTGGAGCAACCTTTTGCGGCCTGGTGCAAGTGAACCTGCTTACCTTCCAGGTAATGCTGCAAAGCTAATCCCTCCCCATTTACAAAATATGAGGACAAAAACAAAGACCCCAACAAAAGGGCACTCATCCATCTGGACAAACCAAATAAAGACACAGACAAACGTTCATGCCCCAAATTCCCTCATGTCCGGTTCACACCCTTTCTTGTAATTCTACAACCCCTTTTCCACCCTGGTTTTATATTTTTAATCTTTTTCAAAGGAATTAAAAAAAAAAAAATCAAATATCAAAACCCCTAAAGCTGAATGATGGATGGAGAATTGAATTGGTGTGCTGGTAGGTGGAATCCCCTATTAGAACTGGAACTTGGTTAATTTGGATGGTTGCTGTGTAAGTGCTTAATGCTGGTCCTTGAGAAAAGGGAAAAATTTGTGAACGTTTACAGGCTGTTCGAATTGGGGATTTGGAGCTTTTTAGATCCGTTGCTGAGAAGTTTTATAGCACTTTCAGTTCAGGTCGGACTCATAACTCGATTGTTAGGCTGCGGCATAATGTCGCGAGGAGCGGACCGCGCAATATGAGTATCTCATACTCTCGTATCTCCCTTACTGGTGTTGCAAAGAAGCCAAGATTGGTCTCTGCTAACCCTGTTGCTGATGTTGCCAACAAGCCAAAATCAGAGACCTGTTGCTGATGTTGCCAACAAGCCAAAATCAGAGACATTCATTCATGTCAAAATAACGGATTCATTAGGAATTATTTCAAAAAATTCAACCATGGTAAATTCTTATCAACAAAATTTAA